GCTTGAGATAAGCGTGAGTTTGAATTTTCCATATAGACGGTACGATCCCAGTGAATCCTCTGGAAGCATTCCGGTTGTTGAAGAAATTTGTTATACTCTCTAATACGACAGAATCTTGATTTGCATATCCTGGATCCAGAATGTGAATATCGTTTCGCTGCATATCAAGGAGTACTTATATCCAGTGACTTCCTCCAGAATTCACGGGGAGGATAACATATTTTATATTATCCATGGGGATGGGGATGGTGAAGGGTCTGAAATTGCGCATAATGCTTTTACAATTGAATATGAGCTGTGTTGAAATTGTGTCTATATAATATATATCACTACAATCACTCAACAAGCTGAATGATAACACATTCAAACAGTAATCTGTTAACCACTTAGACATGACATTACTGGAAAATGAGATAGTTTCATTGAATTTTGACTGAAGAGATGCATAATCAGAACTAGTCAATTTGATGTTATTTTCACCAGCCTTATGAAGTCCTATTGTAAATGGTACGTCATTCTTCATACATGCTTTCAAATAATATTCCGAATTGTGAAACAAACCATTCAGTAGACATCGTGGATCATGCTCTTCAATTTCCTCAACAGATGCTAAATCTGATTCATGAAGGGGTGATCGAAACTCAGGTGATCTGACTGACGATCCTTCATGAGATTTAATGATAGGTGATCGCAAACCTTCGTCTTCACTTTTATCTCCCGAGAAACCAGTGGAACTATGTTGCATTGTCTCCAATTTGAAATAGCTTGATCGCTTTTGAGTAGAGTGAGTTTTCCAAGATTCAAGTGCCAATGGTTGGTCAATTTCTGACCTCATTCTGTTCAGTTTCTTCTTTGAAAAATTTGTTTTTCGCATAGGTTTCTTTCCAATCTGCATCTCTACTGTTTTAAGATCTATGAGTATCTCCCAATCTGCATCTCTACTGTTTTAAGATCTATGAGTATCTCTTCTCTCATTTTCTCAATGAATCTATCAATTTTCAGATTCTGATCGTGATTAAGGATATCGTTTTTGACTATTTTGAACCAGCATTCTACATTGGAATTACTAAACCTAGTGATATCACTCTTTTTCGAATCAAACGTATTGAAAATGCCTGTCCATAGTGTAACAAACGCCATATGATTTTTCGAGATATATTGAAGAAACGTCTTCTATGTCGTTAGATATCTTCAAATACGAATTATAGAAATGTATATGAAATGGCGACTCTTTGTATTGACCTCTAACTATGGCCTCATCATGAGTGTCTTCTCTTATATCGAGATCATGTGAATTGTTCAAGTCCGTAGTACAATTTCTATCGAGACACTTTTTAAATGCTTCTCTCACTGAAGGATTCAGATTTGGGCTCAACAGTATACATACTGCACGGAACAATGCATACAGTTCTTGTAATGAAGAAGCTTCTATCATGCGAGCCATCATTTCCATGAAAATCTTATAGTTGTTCTTATCAATTTTCATCCTCTTCAAGACCCGAGATATCATTTTCATGAAATGAGCACAGCACAATTTCAATAATATGACTGCTGGTTTCTTACTCACAGAACATTGTGTCAACTGTTGATAAATAATTTTCAGATATGAAAACAGAGTCATTTCGTTCAATCCGAGACAGACACCTCCAATATTTGCAAAACTCCAGTCACAAACGATAACATCGAAAATAGGCCAAGAACGCTGAACATCAATTGTCACGAATCTTCTGAATTTGATGAAAAAGTTCGCTATGGTCCCAGCAACATGCATGGAAGTTATGAATTCTGCAATTGGAATGACTTTGGAATCTAAATTCATCACCAACGCATAATAAAATATTTCACAAGAATTATATGATGAAACAACGCTTCCTGTAGAATCAAAATATGCAACTACTCTGCGACCTTTTGGTACCAATGTGTTTATCTGTTGTTTACTGTATAGATACACAAGAGTTTCAGTGGATGGCCACCGCAGGTATCTATATTCGATAGGTTCTTTTATGGACCTCATTACGAGATCCAAATAAGAATGTTTATCGAGGTCGAGGTCAGCTTTAGCTTCGGATCTTGCCTTCTGATAAACAGATATAGATCTGATATCTTGCCAATTAATTTGCCATGAGATAACAACTGACTATAAGCAGCTTTGATATCTTTATCTCTCTTGCTCAAAGGTTTTGACTGCAACAAATGTGTTTTTACTTCTTCTCGCCTTCTATTTCATGGTTTTCTGACTCTCGATTGAATCTAATCAACACTCTACGAACTTGCACATCTTTTGATTTATAATACTCGAATCGAAATTTTCTACAATTAGTATGTTTACATCTGCCGTATTCTACGATAACAGGACCATTCGGTTTCTTCCTAGGTAGATAACCTCTGAAGGATACAACGCAGGAAATATCAAGATCCCAAAGATGTTTCTTCAGATAATTTCGTCTAATTTCGGCATCGTGAATAACATACCACTGAATGTATGCTTCTCTTTGGTATTCGTAGTTATCATTAGTAATAGTGTCTTTTGGATTAAAATGAGTCGAGACAGAATATGCTTCTTCAATGATTTTTTCATTGTCGACTGCAAGTGATGAGTTTTTTTGTGTATCATTCAATTCTCCCATACATTTTGAATGAATTTTCATTCCATTTTCAACTGTGATATGTGATGTGTTTGGGTGTGTGCTGTATAGGTCTCCTGTAGTTTCTGAATGACTTTTGTTCTCATTATCGACTACTAGTGATGTGTTTCCTTGTGTCTCGTTTAGTATTCCTTCAGTTTTTGAAGGAATTTGGTTATCAGATCTGCTTTCATTTTCTTTAATTATGGTTTGAGTTATAATAGACCTATTTCTCAACCAGTATTTCCACATACGGTATTTATTCTCTGCAGATGATCTTAAACTCAAATGAGAGCATATTATTCTTAGTACTTCACTAAAGCCAGTGGAGCATTCGAGTTCGTTCAGATTAATTTTATTTTCTCTGACCAAGTTGATGAACAGAACCAATTTTATTTCAATTTTTTTTCGTTTCGGCATTTCAATAACTCAAGCGAATAATGAAATGATCAACAAAATGACACCTCGATGATCTATGGATAGGAAAGGTTATGTTCAGAAATGTAAGGAATCTAGTGAGAAAATAACTAACGTTGGGATAATCTATAAGATAGGTACATAGGGAAATCTTAAAAATCGTAGTTCACTCATCAGTTTATATCAGTCCAAGGCTGCTTCCCGTTCAGTTTCTCTTATATTCTGCCAAAATGGCAAACGGTTTTCCGAGACCAGTCCTCTGATTTTATTTATAATGTTATTTTTTCTTTCTTTCGATATTCCCCTCTCGATATTTCTCATTGTTGGTCGTGGCAAAGATCCACTTCCATATTTGTGTAGTAGGAAATTTGTACCGGGTGACACGTTATAAAGTACCACCCCCTATAACTCTTTTATTTTTGACAGTAGAAAAAAAATAAAAAAACAGCCTTACAGGGGATTTTTTTTTCCTCCTCGAATCAACTGATATATTTTTAGTATATCAAAGGATATACAGGGAGCAGGAAAAAGTGCAAAAATTTCAAATGGAACGCCCTATATATTTTCGCCCCATTAGATAGACCTTTCGAAGCGCTTTCCGAAAATACCCCACTGTTTTTTATTTTTTTTTCTACTGTCAAAAATAAAAGAGTTAGGGCTAGTTGGGGTATTGGTAAACGATTTTTACAAAAGAAACTTTGAAGTCTGTTAAAATGTAAAGTTGAATATTTATCTCATAGTTTTTTTGGGTGTAGTTTTTTTGGAGTATTGTGTATATATGATTTGCATAGCAAGAATGAGGTCAGAGAATTTATCAAAATATTAGATGTTTACAATTAACCAAGAAAAAAAAAACGTTATTGGAAATTTTGGGGCAATCGTAAACATCGTGTATGTCGTAAATATGAGTCCTGTTCAACTTTATAGGGGGTATTTGTGAACATAGAACAAAACCGATGTGATTTCGTTCTTGAACTGATGATATTTCGACTAATGTTTACAATTCCCCCAAAGATATTGAAACAAAATACTTTACAAGAAATGGATTTATTCTACTCATAAGTACAAAGGTTTGATTAGGTTATGTCTTATTGTGTTTACAATTTCCCCAAACAATCAAACATATTCACAATTCCCCCAAAAATCAGTTTACTATTACCCCAATTTTTATTTTACTGGGGCAATTGTAAACACATGTGAACTGGTCAGTCCGTGATAGATAACCTCAAAATATGCCAATGAGCTATTAGTTTACTTATAATCAATACAAATATAGATATAACACAGCTTACCTTGACCAATTTCTACTTTTTTTTGCGAAAAAAAGTGATCACTTCGAATCTGCTCAACAACTTTTCATACAGCAAGAACGAAAATATTTTTTTTCAGCTGAACCGGTAGCAAAAACAATCGGTGTAAACAGTGGAATGCGGATGAAGGTTGCAGTGTCGCTGTCGTTGCTCGGCGTCATTCGTAGGCGCCAAATTCAAATGATATTGAACGTGTTCAAGATTGCCCCTGTTTGTGATTACCACAATTAGCCCTATAGGGGGTGGTAATTTATAACGTGTCACCCGGTACATCGAAAATCTCCAGAAAAAGATGATTTGAATTTCAAACCTCTTTGCCCCCTCTTGAACTGAATAAAAACCATATCTTGTAGATAAGGCCTGGGATTGATTTTACTTTGCTTATATTGGGACGTTAAATCTGGAGAAGTATGAAAGTTATCAATATCCATCTCTTTGACAATGACTTTTTTGAATCAGCTGTCGCGACACATTCGCTAAAGTCTATAAAATCGTACACCTTCTTCTTTCTTTTCAGCGCTGATTCAACTTGGTGGTGAAATGCGTCACTGGACATGAAAGTAGGTCCAGACTGAAAGTATTCCAGATTCAACTCTTGCAAATTGATCTCGCTAGAATTAATTGCGTAAGTTACAAACGAAAGTAGCCCCTAGTTTTCATTTTGGGCTGCGCAGTTATCCAACCAAATGGTTACTCTTTCTACGTCTCCAACAGCAACTAAGAAATTATAAAACGTAGAAATAATATCGTCTTTGGATCTCCCTGATGTAGCTTCGTGCCAAATAAAAGCGTACGGAATTTCCTTAGATGTTTCCAATGGCACAAATGTTTCATTGAATGCAATGAGTCGTGGCATGAATATGATTTCCTTAAACATCTCGCACCTCGGAAGCATAATCACCTGAAATAAGTAATGGCTACTTTATTAACTGATTATCGAGTATCAACAAGAAAATTTACCTTCTGAAGATCTGCTGAAACATATAAACCGTCTTTTTTAACACTATCTAGTTTATATTCCTCCCTTGCCTTCCGATATCCATCTCGATGCTTCTCGGATGATAAGCACAGATCACAGTCTTCAGAAATATTGTTCTGTTCACGTCCTGTTGATTTACAGTGAATTCTAAATGTTCCACAAACGAAACATTCCTCATGTCCCAAATTCGATAACGAAATGTTCGTACGCGCCACTACTTTTCTGTAGAGTTCGTCGGAAATATTGAATTTGTATTGCAGTGTGGAGTTCTGGTGCATCGCTTTCATTGTGATATCACTAGGTAGATATTTCCGTAACGGAGCATGTTGTAACGTTCATTTTTAGCTATCGTACCTTTTTGATGAATTAATTCACTGATTCGGCGAAGATTTAAAACTTCAACATCTATTGCCTATTACTTGGTAAAATTCTAACATCGGGTCTCTCGATATACCAAGTCAACTTCTGCACAGCTGTATCATATCATCCTCTTGTACATAAATTACATAGATACCTGCCTAGACCATAATTTGATTCCTAGTACTCGAGTCTGTTTATTTCCATATCTGCTGCAAACAGATTCATTTTTGGGAATCATATTTTGGATTTAAGATTTATTTTTGTTTAGGCTGTCATCAGGTATGGTGTTTACATTTCGCTGTCATTATTTAGTAGTAGTATGATCAGCTGTTCGATCGTTGAAATGCTGTGTTCGGAATATCAGACACTACCCTCGACAGAACAGGACCGTTCCGTTGTGCGCGCGCTGGACCAAACTCAGGGTGATTTGAATAACCGAATGAATGGGTTTCTACTGGTGATAGTGGTGGAACTTGGTACCTAGATAGTGCACGTTTGGTGCAATTGAGTGGTGTACCTGGTAGTAGAGCTAAGAGAAATTTATCAACTTGATTACACTGGATGTCAGGTTTCTTTTGTACAATGAGTAAAGTTATAATAAAACTGGGGGATAGATTCCATGTTCTGGTACCCGTTGCGCTGCATTCGAGTTCCGACTGTTCAGTACCCTGTTCTATGACGTCATCATGGGTATAGTACCTCCTGGATTATTCACTGGTAAATATCCTTTCACTACTCTTCTACATCTAAATATCATTCAAACTAAGAATGGATATATAACCCAGGTATTGGTTAGGCAGTACGGTTCCTGTCATGTTCTGTGTGTTCTGAGATTTCTGTCCTTGTTCGGGTATGTCATGTACTTCCATGGTTTTGTGGATCCGAGATGATCAATGAAGGCTGTCACTTTTATGTCCTGGGCAATGAGCAAGTGAAATGGCTGTAAGCCAATAATATTGAATTTTTCATTCATCCTCGAAATGAGGGATTAGATTTCACTCTCAATTTCCAGTTTCCATGTAGGAAATTTTGAGGTATCGTTGTGGTATATATTTTCGGAAACTGTCCATTATTATGGGATTTTGAAGCCTTGGCGAAAAAGTGAGGTTGGAAGCACATGAACCGAAAACCCTTTTCTAAAGGAATAAGAGCGGTACATAGTTGAATCGTTGAGCGAATCGATAGATTTGGAGATTGATGCCTGATGGGCCCCCTCAGGTGGAATGACATTGTAGACATATATTGTTGAGTCTTGGGTGATAGTGTGTCCTTAGAAAAGGTATGAACCTCCAGAACTTTAGAGTCAGTGAGTAAGAATTTCTCTCATGTTTCAGGGTTTTTTTTTATGTGCTGCAATTTGTCTTCTGACATTTTTTTGTGGTGACCTGTCTTAGGGTCTGCAAATTTGAAGTATAGCAGCTTGTGCATTTCCTGCTTCTGCTATAATGGCTGGTATCTGGAGCTGGATCTGATAATCTGTATCTGGAGCTGTATCTGGAGCTGTTTATGGAGTTGCCTTTGAAGCTGTAGCTGAACCTGAAGCAATAGCTGTGCTAGAATCAAGCCTGTGATTGGGCCATGGCTGTCACGCAAGTTTTTCATAGCATTATGATTACTGTTCATAGTATTTTTTTTTGTCTACTACCATGATATTATTATGATGATTTTTATGATATACCCTTGTTAACGTAACAGGCACGGTTGCAACCTTGCGGTTTACGGATTTAGGTATATGAACTGGGTAGGTCATATGATTGTGCAGTACTTATAAAATAGCATAGGTATATTCCTATGAGTTCATGAACATTTAGTTTCTGGGTGGGTTTTTATGTGGATTTTAAGGGTATGGGATAAAACTGGGATTTAAATATTATGTAACACTTGGGTGATATACAGTCAGGTTTTGATTTGAACATTTAAAGTATTCAGTATTGAGGAACATAGTTGCTAGTAATATTCAGATAGATAGCACTTCAATCTTGAATCAGTATTATTGTGTCAGGTGTTTCAAGAATATAATTATTAAATGGTATAGAGTATTGGGAAAATGTTTGTCTTTTAATTTGATAACGATAGCTGTTGAAATAAGATATTAACCATGGTAAGTGGGGTTAATATTGAATCATGGTGAGGGTATGCAGTCCACATTTACCTGGCGCCCTTATTACCATCTATTATTTTGAGTAGATCTGAACCCACTCCGTCTCCACTGCAGTTCAGTCGCGAGCCCATATCCTCTGTCAGCAAAGGACAGATATATTTGTCAATCTCGGAGTAAGATTGTTACAATGTTCCCGTCTATAATGAGAAATTGTAGGCTCAAAACTTTCGATATGATGTTCAATCAATGTTTCATCGAATTCATTTTCTTTTTGTTTCCTGCCACGATTATCTCGTTTTGGAACGATAGATGCTTTTTCATCTACAAAGGGTTATATTTCTGAGGACACGATCGTTTCTCATTTCATATCCTAATGTTGCCAACATGAATTTTTTGCAAACTTGTTGATTTTTTCCGGTCTCATCAGGTAAATGATAAGAAACGGATCTATTTCTTCTAGATCCCTCAGCAGTTACTGTTTGTGATCTCCTTTTGATACCAGTAGTGCTGGTTTTGTGTGATATGAAAGCACGTCTCTCTTTTTGATCCATATCCCAATTTTCCTGGTTGATCAGTTCCTGTCTTTGCCTACTGATCTTCACGGTACATTTCCTTTTACAGTTTTCTCCACAATTTTCTGCAATAGATGAATGTTTTTGTTTCTCAATATTCAGTTTCACTTCCTTTTTTTGCAGGAGAAGTGTCATATTTTTTCCTTTTTCTCAGAGTTCCTTTCTTTGTATAAATTTGGCCATCTAATTCGCGCGAAATTCCTTCAATAATGTCATCCAAGATTTTCTTGATTTCAGATTTAGTGTTTCTTTCCCTAACAACACCAGTACATCCTAGGGACTTCCCAGGGACGTCCCTGATTTTATACTAGGACATCCCAGGGATGTCTCTTGTCGGGACAACGTACATACTAGGGATGTCCCAGGGACATCCGATGGCCTCAAAAAAAGGCATCCATGGGATGTCCTTCTGGTACGTCCCTGGGATGTACCAAGTACGATGAAAGGATATTCCTAGGACGTCCCAAGGATATCCCAGGGACGTCATGCACGCACCTTGCTCCATTGGCTATCATGCCTCCTGAAGATTTATGTACTAAACAGATTCATAAGCAGGACTTAACTACAGAAACCTGAATAGATACAACTTTGTTAGGAATTGGGTATAATTATTATCATTCTTGGGTGTTTGAAAATGAGGGGCATTATGCATGTACGATTTCTGTCTGCGAAAAATGGTAATTTCTTGAGAAGTTCTTAGAGACTTCATTCTTTATTTTCATTAAAATCATCTTCCGGAAGAAAAACAAACATTTTCAAAAAAATTCAACTCAATAGTTTGATGAAATTCAATTACTTTGATGTGAATGGATATCAGATACTCCAGGGACACGAATAGGATAACCTAGGGATGTACCGGGCGGGATGTCCACTGGACAACCACTGCAGGATATCCCCTGGATGTCCCAATCATGTCCTTGTACCGCGGGACAAAAAATGGACGTACCTAGGACATCCCTGTGTTGTTAGGGTTGTATCAAAACCGTCAGAGGTGAATTGTCTTCTTCAGAGAATTCGTCTTCCATAATTCGAGAAATATTGGAATCAGAATCATCTCCAGGCTCTGATGAAGTCCCGATCTTTAACAGAATCGTCACTATCTTCAATGAAATTATCAATATCATTATTTTGGTCTTTTTCTGTGTGTACTTCCAGCACATTCTCTTCTTCTCCAATCTCAACATTCGTAATATTCGTTTCTCCTTCTGAGTCACCTCTTGACGTTTTCTGTTTTTCTCCTATATCTCTAATTTTCCATGCTTCTCCTAAGTGATTCTCTGACATGTTTTGATTTTCCTCCATCTCAACATCAGTCATATTCTCTACTACTTCTGAGTCAACTTTCGACGTATTTTGGGGCACGCTGTAAAATGTCCCGAGTTCTGTTGCTCATCATCCTATCAAATTCAAGAATGTGTTTAAAAGGTATATTGCCAAGTATCTGCTTCTAATCTATTATATGGTTATGGAGATCTTGAAGATGATGCAAAAAAATGAAGATTATTATTCGGTATATCCTACAAGAAAAAAAAATACTAAAAATGAACTAATTTCCTGGCTCATAACTGCTACGCTGAATATAGAATTATGTACTCGAAAAAATCGTATTTACACAATATAATTTCAGAGAACACATATTCTCAATATCAGATATAATTATTATTTTTGAATAATTATTTCAATATTATTTCTATTTCTATAATTATTATATAGATAACTTTCATTACATTCAAGATTTTCAATTGCAGAGTCGTAATTGGATCTATGAATTCAAAAACTATTTCACACCCGATGTAATACGAACACTTATTTCATCGATTCAAAATTTGATGAAAAATATATATTATATATATATATCAGGTAACATATTATGGTATATTTCAATGTTACAAACATCGTTATTTTGCCCTGTCATATTTGACGAATTTGTCAGATACGACCTTCTTGCTCAGGACGGCAGTATAGCAAAATGAACACTATTTAATTTCTTGCATATGTGATTAATATTAGTACTCCAACTCATATTGTTGTCGACAAAAACACCTAAAAACTTTGTACATTTTGAAAAAGAAATCTCAATATTATTAACAGAAATTCTGGTATCTTCAGGTATTTCATTTCTGGTGAAGAACTGCATACAAATAGTTCTGGCAAAACTGACTATCAGATAATTCCTCTCACACCACTTGGTAAATTGTGTTGACAATATATTCATTTTCCTAATCAGCTCATATGGCGATTTCGCATCAGTTGC